TTATATATATAAACACTATATGTAACAAATATACAGAAAGAAATACAAATATAATCAAATTATTTGCTTTATAACTTTACTCACTCAGTTATCATATTGATTGGTAAATTCAATTACTACTTTACTCTTCCGATTTAATAATCCAAGAGCTCTTGCACTGGTAATACCCTTACTATTCCAAGTTTAGTTAGTATTTCCAAGTCAATGATGTCTTTATCACACTTTTTAATGATCATTTGTGTATCATTCTTATTTCTTATTGCAATTAAAACTGTTTTAATAACTGTCTGAACAAAGAGGTCAAGTTTCGTGACAATTACTAAATTTTTTCTTAATTTCTGTTAGTCAGTCGCCTTTAGATGCATATGAAGCAATTGTTTCCACACGTCCTTAGTTATAAATTTATCTAACTCACTATATGTTTCTTTTGCCCTATTAATTAATTAGTCAAGTAGAATTAATAGTAATAGTAACAATAATAATAATAATTAAATAATTTATAATGTTTTATCATATTATCATAACAAACCTTTCGTGTGTTGTTGTAAATTTATTTGCGAGTTTTAAAATAGCTACATGAAACTTATAGCGATAGGTATTAAACCATCCACCTACATTTTTAACTAAAGTTCCTATCCTCAGATCAGTTTTGGCAATTTTACATACTTGGATAATAAGCTCTTTATATAATGCTATTGTATTATTTCTCGTTCGAAGGTAAAGTGCTTTACATTCTTCTTATAATTGTAATTTAATATGCTAATTATTAAATAAATATTAGTATGATTTTATTTTTTTTGTTTTTTTTGAATTTTTATGAAAAATCAACATTGTTTTTATTACCTGATCAATTTTCGGAGGTGTTGATACAGATTCATAGGAAAATCATTATGTTAAAGCATATGTAGATGTCGAAGCCATATCAGATTCTTTATTGATCCCATTTGCTATTCCATCTTTGATATTTATTGCTAAATCTAAAATTCTTTTGTGGTGAGCTAACCAATAAGCAATTTTAAACTCATTGGACATATTGTGAAATTGTGTCAGTTGCTTTGAATGTAAGTTAGCTTCGATTTCCCCAGGAGAATGTAAAATCATCGATGATTCTGTAGAATAAAGTGCAGTTGATATATAATTGTTATTGGGTAATGATACAACGGAAGAGTTATCCTGTTGATTTTGATCCATAGTTTCATCATCTAATAAAACAAATGTAGTTGAACTTGCAGTTTCAACATCACTTAATAGAAAATCTGGTGATGTTTCCTGACCAATTTTTTGTTTTTATTTTTTTTTCATGTTGTTTTTGCAGGATTTGTTTTTTGTGTCACTTTCATAGGAAGTGTACTTAAATTTGCTTTTTGTGTTCATGTTTTTCTCACTGGAGCCTTTTTCTCCAAAGTAGTTTTATTGTTTAAAGCTATAAGCAAGATTATGTGTAGTATTGATTAAAAACATGATGCTATAACAGGAACAAATATTAATGAATTTTTGTAACAT